TACTGGACATATATACAGTAGCTGCCAAAAGTTTCCGACCAATAATTAATTTTATTGTATTGCTTATTTTCAGATAAAAAATATCTTTACAAATAAAGGTCCAGTACATACAAATACTTAATAATATATTTAAATATAGTATTTAAAATATCATGTTCTTAAGTTAATTATAAAAAATTTTTTATAATTTAGAATATAAATTGAGAAATAAATTGACAAAAAGTATTTGTAAAATTTTATGTGTTCATCGAAAATTTTTGGCAACTATTGTACATTTGCGTATAAAATAAATTTTACTCATTTCATCACATAGTGAAATCAAATTTTTAAAAATTTGTTCATCATTGTACAAATGGAAAAGAACTCTGTCCATTGCATTTATCTGAGAATATTACAACATTATTATTGATCCTGAATTAATTATAACTGATAAGCGAACGGATTGTGCGATACGGTACGTTCTTACCACGTGTTGCAAACATTAATCTTACCGATTTTACCGTTCGATTATCGCGAGCATGATCGCCGTGATTTTACGCGGAACAGAGAAATCATGTTCTCGCGAAAAATCGCGCAACACGCGGCGATAATGCAGATAGAGTGTAGGAGCACAAAAGCCCCGATGTGCATTAAACACCCACGCAGAATCGCGCGTGTGTATCTACTCTGTAAATGTCTCCATTGTAAATGGATTCTGTCTTGCACGCGAATTACCGTAACTCATCCCTCGTGAACGTGTCAGAGGCCGGATTGAGCCACGCATTAAATCAGTTGTCGCTGCAGCGACGATTAATTTAAATTAACATGCAAGCACGCACGCAGGTACGCGCGCAGAAATCTCATGCTAGAATTTAGGGCGCATCGAGAATTCAAGATCTTCATTTCCTAAGCGCTGAGAACATCTTACGAAAAGTACACTGTGCAAAAATCGTCGTGGACAGAAATGTTGCGAAGGTCAGTGCATCGGAGTCGCGACGCGGAATTCGATATTCCATTCTGTAAAGGTCGATATCTGACATTTACTTTAATCGACATCAGTTTGGCAATGGACGTGCAATCCTCGCGGAAATTTTACCAATTCTTTATCACAGTCATTGCATAATCGATTTTTTGTTTTTAATTCACTATAATACGTGTCATTTTAAATCAAATATTTATTTTTATGAATTTTATTCTGCTTAAGTTAAATAACGGAATTTAAAGCGTTAAAATGATCCTAATCTAAAGAGGTCCAATTTAAAATAGACTTGAAGCTTTTCTTTTTATCCACGTTGAGATTATAATGCATATCGCATTAAAATATTTATGGCGTGTCAGCGAAAATGATAAATACTGTAATAACTTAACGATCATCGCGAGCGCGTAACTTAATGTTATCGCCTATGGCCGTGGAGCGGAAAATCAGCGGTCGCTATTGATAACGAAACGAGAGAGAGAGAGAGAGAGAGAGAGAGAGAGAGAGAGAGAGAGAGAGAAAGCGGCCGGTCTGCTCTTTCTCTGCAGATTAAATTCTTCGATCGATCGCCGAACGTAAAATGGAAGGATCTACAGGGTAGAGGTAGAGAGAGCAAAAGAGTGGGAGTTCTCTAAATCCCTCGTAACGTTTCAAGTTTGTACGGACCAATAACCTTCCAGAACGCTATTAAATCGTATGATAAACCTCGCACATCGCCGGAGCTTACGCGGCCGGGATGTAAAACGGCGGGGAAAAGGTCGCGCCGGTGTACAATAAGTAAGCCCCTCGTGCCAGTGAATTTTTACTGACGCGAGACAATGCGACGCGACGCCGCACGCGCCCATGATGCAGCTGTTACCGATGGACCGATGTGCAACACTGCACTGACATGCTCTTCTTTTTAAAGCGACATAAAGCCCCGCGATCCTGCCCGGACACCCAAACCGCTTTATGCCCCTCCATCGAAAATAATTCGTATCGATATATCTATCAACTTTCCAACCAATTAGATAACTAATTTCTCATTTTGTCTCTTAGCTATGTCTCTTTAATCAGCGCCGAGAATCCCGTTAGTTTATATTTATTGATACAATTCATCTCGCCGTTCCAGTTTCTCGCAAGTCTTTCTTTTTGCGTGTCACATTTTAATTTCGGATAAATAATCATTGTTAAATCCTTAATATTAAGTTATACACAATTTGAGTTATTTTTAATCATTTCTATAAGTTACTGATCTCACTCGATATGTCGTTAATTTAACTAAAACAATAGATTTAAATGATTTAACTAAAAAGAATGTATTAAATCTGACTGAAATTTAATTTACTAAATGTATATGTCAATAAAGTTATTTACTTTGGAACTAACAGAAATGGATTGATTTACATTCTAATATACATGGAGGTTAAAAATAACAAAACATTATTTAAAACGTCTTCAAGGGGTTGAGTTACAATTGTTCCTTTGAAATTCAACAGTGACGTTCTCCGTTTTTATATACATAAGAGAAATCGCAGTCTGCGCCTCAAACGTAAACGATTTCGCATAGCCTTAAACCCGCGTCTTAAATTCCAATACAGTGTAACATCGATATCGTCGCGTGCATCTCTCTGCAAAAAACCATTAATCATCCTAATACCGTTTAGTCACGGCGTTTCCTCGAGATATCAATGTGAGATCCGTGACCGATCGACGACTAAGCCCCCCCGATCTGGCGATTCCGTGCCGCTTCTAATCTCTCTTGGTTCACTCGCAACGAATAGAGCGTCTCACCTACCTACGGCCGTACGATTCTCATGCATTCCCGATCGGCTGCGAGACGAGACTGAGAAGATTGCGTGGGCGAGTCGCGGCACGCGGGTGCAGCTGCATCGACTGGTCAATGCATCCGCAGCGGCGGGTGATTAATCACCTTGCTCCGGTTTCGACGAGATGCACTTCCTTCCCCCTGTAGTCCGCATTGCGCGCGCGACGCCGTTAAAAGGGAGCGAAGACAGAAAAGAAAAAAGAAAGGAAAGCTCTCTCTCTCTCTCTCCCTGTAGCGGCAACCAGTCGTCGATTTTTCAGTCTCGCGGAATCGAGAGTTCGTCCGTTCGTTCCGTGCCACGCGACCAGATCTCCTCTGCGGGATTCTCTCGTTCTCGGTCTTCTCTACCGAGGACCAACCGATCGCGCGATCGACCGTCGTAATAAAAATGCGATCCTCGTCGCGCCGTGTGGTATCATCCCGTCCTCCGCTTCTCCCTCGACGAGGCAGATCGGCGCGCGGCGGATTATGCAAAGCCGTCTTGCTCGTCGTTGGTACTCGTTCCGCGAAATGCACTCGCGCGTTCACCTCCATCCATTATCGGCCGGATCGAGTATTCTCCTCCCGAACGCTCTGTGGAATCGAGAGGCGCGAGTTGTTAGCCTCGCGAGGTCGAGATCACGTCGTATCGCCGGTTTTGGCCGCGTAACGAGTATAATCGTTAAAGCCATCCGCAGCGACGCGAATGCACTTGGTCGTTTGCGCGTGACGCAATGAACTGTTTTTCCAATTCCATTCACTGAAAAAAATGTCCTAAATTTTAATAAATATTCGAATAGAAAAAATAAATATTTGACTAAATATTTATTAAATATAAAAGTATATTTATTTGAAACTATTCATTTGATTTAACTATAATTTTTTCATTCGGTAAATATTTATTTAGTGTAAACGTCTAGTTAGTTCTGAATAAATAAATATTTATTAAAAATTTAGTGCATTTTTCTTCTGTGTATGTACGCGAAAAAGTCTCCGAACACCGCGAAAGATAAATATTATTGAAAATCCACAAATATTTAAAAAAAAAAGATTTTAATATTAGGATGTGGATAGAGCGTTTATTAATTTTGAAATTTGAGGATACACGAGAGAGAAACTCGAAGATCCAACTTTTGAAAGCCGGATGTACAGATGGATGAATTTAAATCCTGTCTTTAAGAAGCTTGCCTCGGTAAAAGGAAATTTTTCTCTCTGAGGCACCGTGCTCGACGAGATCTGTTACCGTATTAGCCCCAAACACAGACGCACGTTGATCGTATTGGCAGTTCTTATACTCGTAATTATCTCAAAATGCTTATCTTAATATATCAAGGCTATTAAGAAAAAGAATTTAACGAACGAACACTTTCATTTATCTTTCATCTGTATCTTTAACTTTGTTAATTAAGTGTTTTTGCGCAAACAGGAAAGATTCGTTCTATAACTCTTTACTTTCGTAGCTTTTACGATGCATCTTATTTCTCGATCGTTTTTGTTTTTGCGAGAGGAAGAGAACAGAATCGATCGTTAAGCGTTCGCCTAATGGTTAATCAATCAGCTGCTAGTCATTTAATCCTGATTTTCCCCGGTTCGAAATTTCGCGTGCAATTGATTCCGCAATTTCATTTACTTCTCGCATTTTCCCCGGAAATGTAAATGCTCCATTAATTCATGGGTCGCGCGATTCAAGAAATTTCCTCGAAGCGTTAATTGTCGCGCCGAGATTAGTCTCGCGTTTCTACAGAGATTACTGGATCCGAAACACTCTTCTTTAATCAAGCACAAGGAAATTCTTTCTCATCGTCGCTTTATCGAGCGACAACCGAATCTAGTTAGTCAAATCGACTTGGAGCGACCAAGTGCAACTTGCGTCACATTAGCTTCGGCAATTATTATGCGTACGTCGACGATCGATCATATGACACTGTCGCTTCCGGAGAGATATGTTTGATTTTCTCCTCTCCGCCCGATTCATCCGCCAGCTACCTGCACAATTTTCCCAACGACTCCGAGCGACTCCGGAGCACCAAAAGGAACGAGATAATCTCGAAAGCACTTCGGAGCGACAAATTCACATCACGAGATCGAAGAAAGCCCGATCGATTTTATCGATCGTGGGATTAATTGATTAGTGGATTGCACGATCTCGAACCTCAGTATTGGTCGAGGCAATTTCATGTAACGATTTTAAGATGTTATACCGCAGCATCTATGCAGTTACGAAGATACCCGCGTTACTTTCTTGATTATTGCACACACCTCTTCCGTTGTTGTTCGGCGTGCGTGTATCGTGTGTGCGTGAGTATCACCAGCTCGCCGCACTCGCGTCGCATCGGCCTGGCACCAGCGTTGTACCTATCGCAGTCGCGAGAGCAGCGCTGTTTTCGCTCCTCCGTGAAAAAAGGTCCCCCGTGAATCGTGTGCAGAGCGACTTTAACCCTCTCTCGGAACACAACGCGAGAAAGCAGAAGGTAGAGGAGCCGAAGGAGGAGACGGTGGAAAAGGAGGTGGAGAACGAGGGTTGCGACGGAAGCGCGACCCAAAGTCCACCCTCTCGCGCTTCCTCGACCTGCTGCTGGCGTGCCACCCGGCCAGCACGACGACCGGGACGTACATACCCGGCGATGAATCGCGGCCAACTGAGAGAGGGAGAGAACGCAGCCCCCTAGACACTCGCCGCGCACGGATCCGCATGTTTTGTACGTGCGGGGGTAAGTAGGGGACGAGGTGGTAAGGGGTCAGGGGGGATTGTAAAGAGGAAACCCGGAGAGACGCGATGTTGAGAGAGAGAAAGAGAGAGAGGGGGGGGGAGGAGGTTTGGACTGCCTCAGGGTTACAATGACCGCGAGTGGAGTTACTGGGTTAGGTCTGGGTTAGTTCAGATGGATCGGGGATCCTTAAAATGTACGGAAAAGGGTAGGTCGAGGCGCCCCACGGTTAGGAAAGAACGGAAGTGGGTGGCATTTGTCGGCCTGTTCGGAAAGTTTCCGGCGTATATTTTTCAATCGATGTAATGCTTCGCTTTTTAAGTGGCTGTTAGTTGTTCGTTTTGCACATATCGCTTTTCCGTTTCTCGAAGGACGAGATCCAGAGTTTTCTAGAATAAAGACTCGATACATCAGAAGTTTCCAGTACCGAGAATAAAATTTTCGAAAGAGAAATATCCAAGAGAATTTATTTTTTTTTTTTAAAGAGTTCGATAAAAACGTTCTTTATCAGAGTTGTCGCAAAACTAGAAATCAAGGAAATGTCAGGGAAATTGCAAACGGTCAAAGTAATCAAGAAAATATCAGAGAATTTTCTGGAAAATAAAAATTCTTGGTTTTAAAAAAGTTTGATGTGCGTACATCACACCTACACAGTTTTGAAATATATTAATTTAATAATTAAATGCAGTGTTAGCAACATTAATAGTAATTTACATTGCTATGTTAAATTGCACTCTCAACAAAATATTTAATGAGTTCCAAATTAAGGCAAAAATACATAAAGTTTCGAAATATTATTGAAAGTTAGGGAAAATAATGAAATTTTGATGAAAATATCGGGGAAAAGTTATGGAATTTTAGAACGAAGAATTTGTGGAAACCCTGTTTTGTGCCTCAGATGGGCCTACCCTGTTTATTTGCGGCTGTATTTAGATTCACTACGTTCGCAATTTGATCGCGATTGTAAATACGATTAGAAGCGAACGATTATACGCGTCTGTTGCGGTCTGTTACATGAGACACACTCTTTGGAGGGAGAAAATAAAAGGCCGGGACCTAGAAAATCGGAGGGAGATTTAACGTATCGCGACCAGCTTGTGTACAACGGCTTAATCCGGATCGATCCGAGGAGATTATGAACGAGCGAATCACCTCATGACGATGGAACGCCGTCCGAGACCGAGACCAGTATAAATAGTTGCTAATTAATTCGCGCGGCGGAGATATAACGAGATACGTATCTCTGCGACACTTTGCATTTTCACTGGATGTTCTCCGACGAATGTAACGACGACGTAGAAGGACGCGCGGTATGATTTTATCCTTGAATTACACTCGTAAAACGAGCGCACGGGGACGCGATAATATCGTAAATGTAACAACTTCATACGCTGATTCTAATTAATGTCTCGATAAAATACGGGGGGAGGGGGAGGTAAGGGGGGAAGGATCACGTGGACACACCCAGTGAAAAGCTTTTTCTCGGCACGACGAGCTGAATGGAGGATAAATTGCTCAACAATAAAGTCTCGTAACCTCCCCCTGAGCTCCCTGTTGGGTTCCACGTTTTGGAATTGGGGTGGATATATATAGTGAATCGGAATACCCTGGGGATCCAAAATACAATGGCGCCTTGTGATGCTCCAAGTTGTTTACGTCACACAAACTACGGGAGGAGATGAGGGCTGGAATCGAAAAAGGGTGGGCTCGCGACCGACTCTTCTCTCTCTCTCTCTCTCTCTCTTTTTTCTTTATCGATCCAATCCGACCGCATCACGGCCGAAATTCTCGTCATTGAAGGAATCCCTGCGTGGTCGAAGCTAATCGAGAAATCTCGTCCTCGCGCCTGCCGATTCGACTGACCCGCCCGAACATTTGAACGTCAATTTGTCATGATATCGCGGCAAAACCGCTTTGCACGCGTCACTGTTTCTCGTTTCTGCAAGAGAGAATTGCACTCTCACGTAACAATGTCACGCTTCGATTCGAGCGCTTTCGATTCGGACGTATCGGAACACGACTAGAAATTCATTCGCAGATATTCGATATCTTGATACATCCCGACTAACAAACCCGACAAGATAGATCTTTGATTATCAGCAAGGTTTCACCTTGGTCTATTAATAATATCGTGTGAGATGTGGACGCATCAAGATTCGCGAACATCTCCGGCGGCGTCGAACACGATTTCTCCATCGTTCTTCGCTCGCTGATGATACAAAATGCTGACTTCATGAACTTTCACTGGGTGGTGGATCATCCGTTGCAACAGACCGCTGGGTAGCAGCTGAAACTTTTAATAAAGCGATCGCGAATCTCCCCTCTTGCCCGACGGCAGAACCGAAAGGAGAGGGAAGAAAACGATCCCCATCGATCCGTCTCACACTGAAAAAAATACTAAATTTTATTAAATATTTGTTTGAATAGTTCTTCGTAAATATTTACACTAAATACAAATATTAATTAAATTTTAAATATAAATATTAAATATATATTTATTTGATACAAAAAGTATTAATTTAACTACACCGTTAGAAATGTTCTTAAATTTCATTACATTTTGAGTTACACAATTTGAAATTAATTTCATGACGTTACATTAAATTTAATGTATTTATAATTAAAAAGTGTATTTGTGTACATATACATAAAATTTAATGTACTTTTCATGAAAATTTATGAAATTTAATGTACACGTTGATTACATTTAAGTAACTACTGTAATTTAATTTTCAGTTAAATCATTCATTACTTTTAATTTCATTTATAACCACAAGCTTCATTTACATATAAAGGAAGCTCGTGGTTACATTTCTAACAGTGTATCATTTTTTAATGGAATAAATATTTAATTATTGTAAGTAAACGTTTATTTACTATTAAAACATATATATTAAGATTTTTTTTCAGTGCACTCGTCCAATTTCTATAATATCACAATTAAGTTCAATTGAAATTGTAACATTTTCAAACTTTTTCAATTATCGATCAATCATTAGTCGCGCTATAACTTAAATATATTAATTGAACATGATGAAGATACCTGTTGTGAAATGTCATAACGCCACGTTTACATTTAACATTAAATATTTTACGTATTAATTAACAAATTTATTACACGAGTATTTACCGTATTCTATCTCCGGAGAATTTTCCGACAAAGAAGCAGCCACTTTCTTTGAAAATTTTTGTATTATACATTAAAGAGAATCATTAAATAAGGAATGTTAATAAACTAGATAAATATGTTTTATCTTGTTTATCTCTAAATTCCTCTTAAAAAATATGCATAAATTCTTGAATTTATCTTTAAATCCCTCTTAAAAATACGCATAAATTCTTGAGCCAATCCATTTGATAATTAAAAATCTAATAATATTTCCATAGGTAAAGGTATAAAAATTCGACTCTGCGATTTGTGTGTCGGGAATAGTTTGTTCTATCGCTGACTGACGCATTTTGAAATATTCTCGGTGCACGAACCGGAAGCTGAATAATTGCGAAATTTATCTCCTCTTCTAGCCACAAATTCTCCGCGCTCTTGTTTTAATTATAAGGCTCTCCGGAGGCATTGTACAGCGTACAACCCGTCCGACGTATATTTTGCGACGCGTCCGAAATTACATTTGATTTATCGCACGAATAATGCGGCGCTTTATATAGTAATGCTTCATCAATAACATCTCTCTCCCCCTCGTGAGCGGCGGCGATTCCGGCGAGGCGCTCGTTGCAGCTTGAAATTGGATCAGCGGCTCGGCGGTCGCCGAGCGACAAAGCAGGTGCAACCTGGAGCATGGGCGGCTCAATAAGAGTAATTAATTGCCGCGGACACGCGTCGATGAGAGAGAGATAGGGGAAATGAAATGCGATCTGATGCGATGTGAGATTCTTAAAAATTACGTTTATGAGCGAATGACATCTTATCGCTTTCTCGTTGAGGAAACATCGATGTAAGCGAAAGAAAATATATGACGGGATAATTAGTTGGCTGAGTCTGTACGATTAATATATCTGTTTTGCATTAAGAACGATCCATCTTATATTTTTACATTTGCGTTTTGTGTAAACATACGCTTGAATGTTTTTTTATTACGTATTATATATAGATAGAAAAATGTTATTTTACTGCTAAGAGAAGTGATTAAGTACTCAATGTACTTTTACTTTAAGTAACCTTTTCTTTTAAGTTCTTTTATGTATTATTAAGAAAACATTCTTTGTCAAAGACAACTTTAAAGATAAGATTTTTAAGAAAAATATTTTCTTGATAAAGTCTTAAAATGTACTTATAGCAATCTTTGAAAAATTATTATTATGTACTCAAAACAAGAATTTATTTTCTTTTGAAAAATATTTTAACATTTTATGGAAAAAGGTTTTATACATGTAATAAGCAAATTAAATTTATTTTAATTTAGTAATCTTGATTGAAATATTAAAATCACTAGAATATATTTTGAATGAAAAAAAATTTGACGCTTGTGATGAACTTATAATAAGATTTGCGAATATATGAATTTTTGAAATACTTTAAAAAAGTAATTAATATTTAAATACAGTCCATATTTTCTGTATGTCCGTATATAATTAAAAATGTTTGCATTAAGATGGATAGAACTCGATGAACGCGAAAATTTTGTCAGCATTAATTTTCGTCTCTTATCAAACGAATTAGCAAAATACTGCATTTCGATTGA